CACGCGGCTCTGGCGGCGCTGGACCGTTTTGATGTTGAAACTGCGCTCAGCCTCCCATGTTGGTTATTCCGGTCCCCGCCCCATAGCCTTAAAGGTTGTCCGCGTAAGGCTCTCCGCTTTTTCCTGGGGCTCATCCACCACACGCCCAACGGAGAGGCGCCCGGCAAGAGCAAGCCTGCACACTATGGATGTTTTTGCCCCGCCTGCTCCTGCATCGCCCCGCGAAAGCCAACCTGCACCTAAGGCGCTGACGTGCGCGTCGCCGGCGCGTCCGCGGCGAACGTCCGCCAAGGACACAGGGGCGGCAAACGGCCCCGCCCTTCAGAAAAGAGGGGTGTGGGCAAGGCGCCAACGTGGGCAAGCACAGCGCACGGCCACGAAGAGTGCGCGCAGTGGGCGCCTTAATTATGCCTATTGGCTCGGCGAGCGCTCGGCCGCCGGTGACAGTGCGCAGGGACCGCTGCAGCCTGAGAGGGCAGGTTTAGGAGGAGGCCCGCCGGCAAGGCGCCCGCCTGGCGTGCCAACTCCGCAACCTCCTTCTCCGCCCAGGGCACAGCACCGATCGCCTCGACAGCCGCCGACGCCCACGGCGGCACGGTGCGAGGGGAGGCTAGAACCCCGAGCCAAGCGCTCACGGCAGCCCCCAAAAGGACGCCCGCCAGCAAACCTAGCACAAACCAACCCCAAGGAGCGGGAGCAGGGTGCGAAGCCGGGTGTGTAGGAGCGGCGACCCCATCCCACGAGGGCGGCTACATCGAGGCAAACCTCAAAGCAGAGCTGATTAAGCGATTACGAGCCCGAAGCGGGAAGTGATCCAGAGGAGGGTTCGTAAGCCAAAATTGCTTGAGCCAAATTAACGTTCAGGTGAAATCCCCGACGATTTGGCTCTTGCAGGGCAACCAGCCGGCCGACACCGAAAGCTGCAGCACTGACGGGGGGCATTTGGGCTTGAGCAAGCACACTTGCAAGGCATCGGTGGGTGATGCGGGGACAATATGTTTTCACACTGCCTTCTCGATTCTTTAATGTCTGCCCATCGTCTCTCGGGCGATCCCGGCTTCGCGGCGAGCCGGCGGGCCGTGCGCGGGCAGCACCCCAGACTCGCCACGAAAGTGTAGGCTGCAGGCGCCGCCTCCGTGCCAGCAGTCTGTACTTACCTCCGGCCGGTCTTTTGCGCCGCGTGGGCCGGCGTTTCGCACGTGCTTCACAAACGCCGCCCGGATGTAACCGCCTGTATCCGCGAGCTTTTGGTGGAAGTCGGGAACCTACGCGGTCAGTGGACTCGGAGGCCCGGCCAGCATGATGGTCCCTTTTGGATTTCTGCGGGCTTGGGCTGCAATCCCAAAGCGCTTGGCAGCATCTGACCCAACGCTAAACAAACTAGGCAAGCGTCTGGGCTTGCCTTCCACGTCACGGCCGGCCCGGCATCAACAGGGGACTGAGCTGGCAGAGCGGGAACTCGTCCGGGGCTGGGGCTATGGGTGTGGTGACGGATCCCAAGTAGAAGAAGCGGGATGCGCAAACAAGGTGGGGCATGACTGTCGACGGCTTCTGGACAGGGTTGGCGCCAGATTCTCGTCTCCGCACAAAATGGCAGTGTCTTCCTGTGCGTGGTGCGCAACAGTGGGGGACGTGAGAAGCGCAGTCGGCATACAAGGCGCGTTCAAACAGTCACTGATTGTACTGGGATACAAACAGTGTCAAGGGCTCAGAGGGCCAGCACACAGCACCTTTTCGCAGACGCATCAGCCTTCACCGGCACCAAATTAAGCTCCGCGAACGGGCCCGCGCAAAAGTGACTCACCATTGCGAAAACTACAGGGCAAGCGTGTCCGGATGTTTTAAACAATCTGCCAAGCAAAGCTACGACCTGCAACATGTTTTGGCTGCTTGAGTCTGTAAGTAGAAATTGAATTTGAGTTTTTGCTGCTTTTAATCGACTGGGTTGAGGTTAGATGGGGTAAGGGTAGGCTTTGGGGTCAGGATAGGCTTTGGGTCAACGCAGGGTTGGTGTGGTGACAAGCTCAAGATAGATTTAGGGTTGGCTTTGGGTGGTTTGGAAAGATTTTGACTGGCTTGGGGATGTTTTACGGGTGGCTTTCAAATGGTTTAAGGTTGGTTGTGGCTTGGTATGGGATAAAGTCAAGGTGAGTTTGAGATGGGTTGAAGGTGGACTTGAGCTTTGTGGGCGGGTTCTGAATAGGCGTTGGGTCGACCCAGTGTTTGGCTCGAGCAAACTTAGGGTTGCTTTAGGGCTGCGCCACGCTGGTCGCGAGGGAGTTGTTTGGAGCTCAGCCGGCACGACGCCAGCTCCATTCCACGCGCCGCGGTTCCTGTTTCTGTCGAAAAAAGGCGAGCAAAGAAAACAACAACAAGTGGCTCTTGGGAGGCTGCGTGGAGAGCTCGACGAGCTGGATGAAAGTCAAAGTGCGGGCAACGTGAAGACAGCCATGTACAGCTGCTGAAACCTGCGGCCCGCTCTCACTTTTTGCAACACGCAAGAACTTAGGCAGATCCTGTCACCACATGCCATCATTCTGGCTTATCACTTGCAACCACACTCACCGTATTTCAGCTTTCCTTGATGGCAGGAAAGGGAACCATTCACTCTGCCTTCTGACGTCCGCGTTTCTTAACACTGCAAGATCGGGCAAGGCAGCTGAGCACAAACATGGCGAGGCGGGTAAGTCTAGAGCGCACACTCTTCGTCTCAACCGAACAGTGAGCAATCTACAAACGACCGTTGGAGAACAACTGGACCACCAAGCCAACATGTGGGTATCTGTTAGTAAGCGTTTTATCAGGCTGTTTTTGCGAGCGGTGCCTGTGCCCGAAGGAGCCCGCCTGGTTCGCAGGCCAAACACAAAGTTCAGGGAGTGCGGACGCTGCGGACGCTGCGGACAGACTGCGGACAGTACGCGGTGCAACATGTGGCTCTGACGGTCGCTGGCGGCGGAGCGCCCTCGCTTCAAGAGACGCCGTGGCGAGCGCAGCTCCTGCTCCATCTAGGGCTGGGCTTGATTTCTGGCCTTCACATGCTCACTGAGCATGTGGTTGCCGAGCTTGAGCTCCGGCTGCCCACAGCGCCTTCCTTTCTTGCAGCGGCTGCGCACGAGAACCCGGGACTTGGTTTTGCGCCTCCCTCCTGAGTGGACATTGTCGCTAGAAGGCCTGTTCTGCACGCAAATGAGGTATCCCCGATACTTCCGCACCCACGCTGATGAGAAGGAACAGTCGCTGCACTTTGCCCTGGCGCTCAAATGCATCCACTGCAAGCACATCCCATGTGCACGAAGTCAGACCGGGGAGCTGTTGCTAGCTCGCGTTGCTGGAACTTGAAATGGCGCTGGAACCCGACAAAGCTGTGAAGCCGTTGGCGCGAGTCCAGTGCGCGACTCTCACAGCTGCTCGCGCTCAAGTATTGGTTGCTGGCCACCAGGGAATACGATCCGTCGCTCAACACAAGATTTGTGGAACATGTCAGGAGCCAACCGTGGAAAGAAGGCCAGTTGCAAATGGGCGGAGCCGACGAGCTTTTGGGGCCGCGCGCCCCACGGAGTGCGCACGTTGGCTGCAACTCGATTTTTAGCTTCTTGCGCAATGTGGCTGCACGTCGAAGCAACAAGTTGCAGTTTTGCCACCAACGTCCTGTATAGGAGCCCCGGATCCCACCCCAAACACACCCAGGAATGGTGCAAACCATAGCCGTCACCGTCACTGCGGGCAATCCAAAAAATCGACACGCATACGTGGGCTTTCGAGACTGTCGCGAGTCGGGCGCACTGAAATTTAAGCACCAACACGTCTGTCTGCCACCGTGTAACACGAATTGCATCAAAAGTAAAGTGCGACACTGAGCGAGCATAAACACACTTTTGAGGAAAGACCAAGATATGAATTTCCAACAAGTCCCATTTGTCTCACCAGCAAATGTGTCCAGCTGTAAACATTCAATGAATCAAGGAATGAATCTTGAGGCACACTCCGGAGCGCTGCCGTATACAGCTCTGTGATCCTACGAGCCACACTGATCCTTGCAGCAATGCCGTTGGTGGACGTGGCCTACGCTAGCTGGAGCGCGCGCACTGAATGCGGGTCAAAGCAGACTCAACCGAGGGGAGCCACAAGCATTGCCATGCCATGTTGGGATGCGAGGTTCAAAGCACAGCTCGTGTGCATCGCAAATGAAGCTCAACACTGAGCCGCAGCCCCTCTGCGTCGCGGCTGGAGCCCAAGCGCCAAGCTCACCAAGCCCGCTCAGACAGCCTCACCAAACCTTTTGGCTGGGAGGCGAGCTCATCTTGGGCAACCCCTGTGGGCAAAAGCCGGGCAGTGAGAGGCATGGGCCAGCAAGCAACAGTATTCCAACGCACTCCCATGCAAATTGTTATTTGGATACGAGGGACAAGAGCTTACAAACAAGCGAGGATTGTAAACTGAAAACGCAACAAGCAGCTTGAAGCAGCAGCCACCTTTCGTCAATCAAAGCGACTGCTCCACAACTCCCAAGCTCGTCGGCGCAAACGTGTCGTTTTGCAGGACTAGTGGTTCAAAGGCAGTAAAGCTCTTTGAACCCGTTCCTAGTTCGCTTCCACCACTTCTATCAAGATCAATGTGTGCGACATGCATGCGCGTAAAGTCCCCAATGATAGAAGCCCGGGATAGGGGATAAGCATTCCGGCTTTGGGCGTTCCTGCCACTCATGACCTTTTTTGTTCTCTCTCTCTCTCTCTCTCTCTCTTCTATCTCTCTCTATCACTTCTTTGTTGGCATCGCAACAATGTGACTTTACTGCTATGTACAAGTTGAAGCTATCACGCCATCAGCAAGTTAAAGCTCTGGCCTATTGAGAGCTACAGCTAGATGGAACATCCAAACACAACGTGACTCCTACACAAACTTGAGGTACCTTGCACATCGCCATTGCCTGTTCCAGCCAATGCAATGGTTCAGTTTGCTCTTCATAGCCGTTGACAAACCACCTGCATTGGCTTCATTGCTACATTGCCTTTGTGGCCGATCACTGAACATGGCGATGCAGAGAAGTAAGTTGCGCTTGCCATTCGGCAAACACACTGATGGCAGAAAATAAGCTTTCTAATAAAAACAAGCCTCGAGCATCTTAAAGCCAGCATAGAAATGGATCGAATGCTGGATCGCCGAAAGGCTGCTCTTCAAACTGAGCTCTGGCTTTCATCCAGATCCTTCAGACTGAGCTCAGCTCTGGCATCCATCTGGCTTCAATGATACGGCACGAAAGCAGTCCGATTCCAGTCTGCCTTGGAAGCAGGTCAAATCGCGTTTAGTGTTCGCCTCGCTGAAACTGCACAAGAAGATCTTGGCAGCCGGCCAACACAGCTGCCCTGGCAGGGACTGCCTAGGTGTCTTACAAAAAGGGCCGCCTAAGTTGCTCCAAAGATAGCACGTTGACTCCTTGACTGCAGGCGTATGGCCAAATCAAGCAACATGACTCCTTGAGAATCCCCACGACAGGAACTGAACTGATGCTTACTTTGCCTGAACACGGTGACTGCAACTGGGAACGCAGCATTGATCCGCATATGGGGCCCCATATATCTTTAGTGATTGTTCGCGTGTTTGATTGTGTGTCTACTTATGTCTACTTGTTTCCATGCTCGGCTTTCGACACTAGGGTCTGGGCGTTTTCCTTTTGCCGACATCCGTACCGGTTTCCCTTCACAAAGATCTAGACTGGTTTGGGGGATACCTAAGCCTGCGAGTCAGCTATTTAAGCTGCGTCGTTCGTCAACGAACACATTAGTTATGTCCACAAAAATGGGGTGAGGCTTGCCGCTGGGAGGGGGTGGTGGGCTGGAATTTCCCCTGAGTCGACTGGGCGGTGCTGCGTGGGGAGTTCCGGTGGTTTTGTAAGGGCTGTTGCGCAGCTTTTGTGGGTTTGCTGCGGGTCTTGTCGTGTGGGTCTTGTGTGGGTCTTGTGGGGGTTTCGTGCGGGTGTTGGGACGGGTTTGTGTGGGTTTTGCGTGGGTTTCGGGCGGTTGTGTGCGGGTTTTGTGTGGGTATTGTGTGGGCTTTGTGTGGGCTTTGTGGGGGCTTTGTGTGGGTGTTGGCTGGGTTTTGTCTGTGGGTTTCGGTTGTCTTGCGCGGGTTTTCGTTGGGATTTTGGGTCCGCACTTCACATGTGCACGACTGCGCTGACCTATGTTAAGAAACAATGAAGAACACAGCGTGCCAACAGGAGGGGGATGGAGATCGTTGTGGGGCAGGGTGGAAAGATGTGGGAAACAATAAACTGAACGAGAGGCTGTAGTGAGATAGTGGATCACTACGCGATGTCGTTTGTAGTGGAACACAAAGGCCTTCTGAGAAGCGGGCCTCCCTCGCTGAGGGTGCAGCTTTAAAACAAAGGCACAACTTGGTCACGGGGCACGCTGTAAATGGCACACAATCGCAAGGTTGGGCACCATCTGCGCGAGCAAGACCTTGATGACGCTGATGGCGACGCTGGCGGTGCTGACTGAGGGCATTTGCACCGCTGGGCCTGCCTTCCGGAGGCAGCTTCGCGCGCGTACGGCGGCCTGCTTGCGCAAGCAAGGAACGACAAAGCAGGCTGGCAGGATGGGACGGGGTGGAAAAATGTGGAAGTTGATGAGTTGAGTGAAAGGATTAGCCAGCAGGACACACGCGACGCCAATCATCCGATCCATGTGTCACTTGCTTCAACCCGCCGCGCGAGCCGATTGTAATGAACTGCTGGTTTGTTGGCCGATGATCAATGATTTCGCTCTCCATTTATAACACAGGTGCGAATACTCAACTGCGGCCTTGAACGGTAGCGCAGCTCTATGAACTGCGGCCGCGAGCGACAAGGGGGAACAAAGGAAGTACAGCAGCATTGGAAGCGACGGGCTTCAACTGTCGGCCAAGGCAAAGTTTCACGCAGCCCCGCGTATAACACTCGTGGGTGTACTGAGCTTTGACTCCTCTAAACGACACGGTGCTGACCAGTCTTATCTTGGGATTCCGTTGGAATCACCTTGTCTCACAATGGCAAATTATGTGTGTGTTCGTCTTTGCGTCTGGCAACAAACTTTTGAGTTAATCTAACATTTGAGTTAATCTAACATTTGAGCCGTGCCTATGTCAACAGCGGTACTACGAACCTGCTTTCGCGCACCCTTCCGCGATGCTTTCGCGACCATGTTTTGAGTTCGCGGTCTTTGTTTGCTTTAGAATTGCTTTTGCGGCGGACTTTTTGAAACACACCCTTTGGACTGCATGAGCTCAAAAGATGCAGGTGTCCTTTGATGTCATTGGTTTCTTCAAAGTGAGTTCCACAAACGGCAGTCCACCCCAAATGCAAGGCTATGTAAACAACTCCCGCTCATCATCAGCATGCAAGCTTTCGCGGGGCTGTTTTCGCGGTGGGACCGTCTTTAGGCACTTTCACGATTAGCTTTCGCAAGCTTTCGCAGCGTGCGTTTTGGCTTTACGGAGGGTTTATAGGACACCCCCCTTCATTGCTTTGCATTGTCAGGGTTTATGGTGCTGCTCAACCAACAACCAAGCAACATAGATGGCAAAACACATGAGAAGGCAAGGAATCGATATAAGAACAACCCTCTAGGCCGGTCAAGAAGCATGACGGGAAATTGCCCAGAAAACGTTGCACACGATTGGCGAGATTAGTCACCTTTGGTCTAAGACTGCAAATCAAGCCAGAATCAATCGAGAAGCCAATTTTGAACTTTGAACCACGGGCTCTCACAGCATGCATTTTCCCCGCACGTGCCTGGCCAGTTTTGCTGCTTCTCTCTGATCAACAGCTACTGATGCACTTAGCTGACAACCTACACGATCTTGCTTTCTCCTGCAAGTGGGCGGACCTTGCTGACTGTCTTCCACGTTGTCCAACCATTTAGCAGCTCTTCATACCGCCGTGATACTAATGCCATGAAAGCGATGGAGACAACCTGGCGTCCGTTGATTGGTTCGGCTATGTTTTCTCAGTGTTTGTGCTCAAGAGTGGCGATCGCCGCACCCAAGTCCCCCGACCCCTCGCCAAAGAGGGGAGGCGCACGGAAAGAGTGGCTGGCACATGAGCATGACCGAAGATTCAGAATTCATCATCATCATCATCATCCATCATCATCATCACCATCATCATCATCATTCATCTTCATCCATCATGATCATCAACCATCATCCATCATCACCATCCATCCATCCATCCATCAACCCACCCACCCACCCATCCATTCATCCGTCCATCCATCCATACATGTGCATCATCATCGTCATCATCATCATCTTCATAATCAAATCATCATCATCATCATCATCATCATCAACATGCATCATCATCCATCCGTCCATCCACCCACCCATCCATCCATCCATCCATTTGTCCTTCCCTCCGTCCGTCCGTCATTATCCATCCATCCATCCATCCATCCATCCGTCCGCCCATCAATCCTCGTCATGGATCGTCATCATCATCATCATCATCATCATCATCATCATCATCATCATCATCATCATCATCATCCATCATCATCATCATCATCATCCATCATCATCCATCATCATCACCAATCATGATCATGATCATGATCATCATCATCATCAACCCCACCCCCATCCCCATCCTCACCATCATCCTCATCATCCATGCATCATCATGCATCATCATGCATCATCATCCATCATCCATCATCATCATCATCATCATCATCATCCATCATCATCATCATCATCACCCACGATCATCCGTCATCATCCATCATCGTCACCATCATCCCCATCCTCATCCTCATATCATCCATCATCATCCATCATCATCCATCATCATCCATCATCATGCATCATCATCCATCATCATCCATCATCATCCATCATCATCCATCATCATGCATCATCATCATCATCATTATCATCATCATCATCATGATTGTCTTCATCATCATCATCATCCATCATCATCATTATCATTATTATCGCCCATCATCATCATCCATCACCATCATCCATCATCATCAGTATGTTCATCTTCATCGTCATCATCATCATCATTCTCATCTCCACCCTCATACTCACCCTAGTGATCCATCATCCTTATCATCCATCCTCCTCACCCTCATCCGCATCATCATCTTCAGCATCACCATCATCATCCATGATAATCACCATCGTCATCATCATCGTCGTCATCATCCATCATCATCCGTCATCATCCGTCATCATCATCATCATCATCATCATCATCATCCATCATCATCCATCATCATCCATCATCATCGTCCATCATCATCATCCATCATCATCCATCATCATCATCATCATCCCCATCCATCACCATCCAGCATCCTCATCATCATCAGCATCATTGTCATCATCATCCATCACCATCATCCATCATCCACTATCCATCATCCATCATCATCCATCATCATCCATCATCATCCATCATCATCCATCATCATCCATCATCATCCATCATCATCCTCACTCTCATCATCTGGGCTGGTGGGCCCGCCCGACTGCAGACTAGGCGGCTTCAAAAAGAGGGTCCGGTGTTCACATGGAATCCTTCTCCACTTCAGCCATCTGAGCATTGCTTTTTTAGAGAGGGCTTATACACTGCTGGGGAGGCTACGCGGGGGGGTTCGCGGGGGGCTTCGCGGGGCCAGATTTCTCGCGAGGCTTCGCGAGGCTTCGCAGCAAGACTGTGGCTTCGCGGAGTGGCTTTCGCGGATGCTTGTTCCACAGACATCTCTGACGTTTGCGCTCTCATGCAGTTGGATCATGTTAAGTCCATGCGAAAGGGGGTGATGAAGGCGGTAAAAGAAATGAACTTCAGGACTAGGGGACATGGCTGGGCCTCAAAGGGGCGGAGCGTGGAAGTTGGACCGCGGTGGCTTTGCGGAGGCGTCGCGAAAACGTTCCATCGTTTCTCGCAAAAGCGGGCCTGAAACGCACAGTGCTCTTTCGGTCGTCTTCCTGTAATCTTGTCGTAGCCTTCTGACTCTAAATCCGCCGACAACAGACGGCGTGTTCACAAAAAATGCTCCTTACCTCTTTACCTGTTACCCCTCCCCTAACCCCTCCCCAGAGGCACCATTTCAGACTATTGCGGGGGGGGGGGGGGTCCACGTACCACGCGGTGATTCGAAGACGCTTCACTAAATCTGTTCATTGTGCGGGCTTGCGCAACTCAGTTTGTCAAAAACATTGGGGTGTTCGATTCCCCCCGGGTGCGCTTTCGCATCCTTAGCAGCTCCAGCGGCACATCGCCAGCATCACCTGCATCATCCGCATCAGCGCCTGCCAAGGATGCGGATGATGCAAGTGATGCTGGGGATGTTGCCCATGCTGGTGAAGGAAATGAAGGGGGGAAAGGGGGAAAGGATCTCAACAGCGAAAGGGGGGGGAAAGATCTCAGGGAGGAAAGGGGAAAAGGGAAATCTTTCTCAGCAGGGAAAGGGGCGGGGAAAGATCTTAGGGAGGAAAGGGAGAAGATCTGGGGACAAAGGCCTTAGAGGGGAAAGGGGAGAAATGATCTCAACAGGGAAGGGGTGGAAAAGATCTTAGGGAGGAAAGGGAGAAGATCTGCGGGAAAAAAGGCCAACAGGGAAAGGGGGGAAAGATCTAAGGAAGGAAAAGGGAGAAGCTCTCAGGGGGGAAAGGCCTTAGGCGGGAAAGGGTGGGAAGGATCTCAACAGGGAAAGGGGGGAAACAATCTTAGGAAGGAAAAGGGAAAAGATCTGGAAAGGCCTTAAAGGGAAGAAGGGAAAGGATCTCAACGGGGAAAGGAGGCAAAGGATCTTAAGGAGGAGTAGGGAGAAGATCTCAGCGGGGGGAAAGGCCTTAGGAAGGAAAGGAGGGAAAGGATCTCAACAGGGAAAGGGGGGGAAAGATCTCAGTGAGGAAAGGGAGAAGATCCCAGGCAGGGAAAAGGCCTTAGGGGGGAAAGGGGGAAAGGATCTCAACAGGGAAAGGGGGCAAAGGATCTTCGGGAGGAAAAGGGAGAAGATCTGAAAAGGCCTTAGGGGGAAAAGGGGGAAAGGAGCTCAACAGGGAAAGGTGGGAGAGGATCCTAGGGAGGAAAAGGGAGAAGATCTTGGGGGGAAAGGGGGAAAGGATCTCAACCAAGGGAAAAGATCTTGGGGAGGACAAGGGAGAAGATCTCAGGGGTGGAAAGGCCTTAGGGGGGAAAGAGGGGAAAGGACCTCAACAGGGAAAGGGGGCAAAGGATCTTAGAAAGGAAAAGGGAGAAGATCTTGGGGGGGAAAACGCCTTAGGGGGGAAAGGGCGGGAAAGGATCTCAACAAGGAAAGGGGGGAAAAGATCTTAGGAAGGAAAAGGGGGAAGATCGCGGGGGGAAAAAAGGCCTTAGGGGGGAAAGGAGGGAAAGGATCTCAACAGGGAGAGGGGGGAAAACATCGTAGGGAGGAAAAGGGAAAAACTCAGAGGGAGAAAGGGCCTTAGGGGGGAAAGGGGGAATGGACCTCAACAGGGAAAAATGGCAAAAGATCTTAGGGAGGAAAAGGGAGAAGATCTCAGGGGGGGAAAGGCCTTAGGGGGGAAAGGGGGGAAAGGATCTGAGCAGGGAAAGGGGGGGAAAGATCTTAGGGAGGAAAGGGAGAAGATCTGGGGGCAAAGGCCGTAGGGGGGAAAGGGGAGAAATGATCTCAACAGGGAAAGGGGTGGAAAAGATCTTAGGGAGGAAAGGGAGAAGATCTGGGGGAAAAAAGGCCAACAGGGAAAGGGGGGAGATCTAAGGAAGGAAAAAGAAGCTCTCAGGGGGGGGGAAAGGGGGGGAAAGATCTCAGGGAGGAAAGGAAAAAGATCCCAGGGAGGAAAAGGCCGTAGGGGGGAAAGTGAGGGAAAGGGAGGAAAAGGGAGAAGATCTCAGGGGGGGAAAGGCCTTAAGGGGGGAAAGGGGGGAAAGGATCTCAACAGGGAGAGGGGTGAAAACATCTTAGGGAGGAAAAGGGAAAAACAGAGGGCGAAAAGGCCTTAGGGCGGAAAGGGGGGATGGATCTCAACAAAGAAAGGGGTGCAAAAATCTCAGAGGGGAAGGGGGCAAGGGGACAATTCCAAAGGGACGCAAATAAGAAAGCAGGCCTGTAATGTCGGCGGCCTGAGCCGGAGGCGTTAAAATATCAACCTTTGGCATGCTACTGCCATGAAAGCACACGACACACCTGCCATGATCGCACATAACACACTCCATGGCTTCGCAAAGTGGCTTCGCCTGTGTGAATGTTGCCGGGCTTCGCGAATTGGCTTCGCGGCACACAATGTATCACACAAGTGCCTTCGCGGACCTTTTGGGAGTTCCCCGCGAAGCTAAAATCCATCATCTGAAAAAAAAAGCTTCTCATCTGGGGTCGGCGGCACTGGGCGGCAGCCCTTCCTCTTGCGTCGCAAACAAAGCCTCGCACACAAGGGCAACCCGTGCCAGAATATTTCAAATTTGCGCGTTCTGTACACAAACGAGGCCACACGCAAGAACAACTACACGATACGCAAGCGGTTGCCTGCTGATGCCAGCCCCCTGAGCCCTGCACCCTCGGTGGTGCAGGCGAGCGACCCGCCTGATGCAGGAGTCTTCGAACGCTTCTCTCACAAAAGCTGACTGTCGGCGTAAGGAAGCTGTGACTCCAGGAGTCGAGACTGAGAAGCAAACGCAGCTCATGCCGTGACATTGCCTGGGGCTCTGCACAAAGAATTAGTCAAATCAAAACATGCTACACCAGTCTACAGCAACCAACCACATTTCATGAATTTTCGAAAAACACAATGGCCTGCGATGTCCACGAATACAGCAACAAGAATCGCCGCACGTAGATTGCATTCACACACACACACAAGAAAAAGAGCTTGCGTCTGTCCTGTCTGCAGTTCAGTGAAAGAGGCAATCAGATACAGCAAATGACAAACATCCGCCAAGCCACTTTGCTGAATTTGAAACCAAGTCCAACCATGCTATAAACAGAAGAGAGGTCAAACAAACCTGAGAAGACTGAATTGTCTTCTTCCATACAGCAGCTCCAAACGTATTTTTGCAAGCGAACGGCTGAAAGCGGTCTGATGCCGGTAGAACCCAGTTGCTGTTCCTTAGCCAGCAAAATAGCGAACTTGCAGGCGCTTTTCTGTTTGGCTCCACGAAAATCTGCGCTGTCGTTGCCAGAATGCTGATTTGTGCTGATTGTTGGCAGCCAAGGCGCTGCATCCTGCCAGACTGCCTCGCCCCCAAACTTGTCACGGAAAGCCACGCGTGGGCATATTGACTCTTGCGTGGAACAAGTTCGCCCCTCGCAGTGGGGTTCTGATTTTTGATTATCTTTGCACGTAAAGAACTGAACATTTAGAATTGCCCATCCACGTTCTATGTCTCACCCAAAATGATGTTTGGCATAACGCTCCCCCCCCAAAAAAAAAGCTTGTCCCCCGGAAGGAACCATTTTATTATTAGGGGGCCCCTGTTCGTTTTCGGAGCCCGCGTAGTAAAGGAAACGCACACGCGTAGTAAAGGCAACGCACTCCCGAAGCTCCGGCCCGCAAGTCGCAACTTTGCAGTACACGCGTAGTAAAGGAAGTACAAGCATAGTATATATATATATATATATTTAAAGGAAACGCGCTCCTGGAGCTCCGACAATATGTTCTTTGCAGGATTGAAGGTGCAAGGGTCGCCTAATAGGGCTGGATTTGAGCACGGGCAGGAAAATACCTGCTTTAGAATTGGTTTAGTATTGGCATATTCTAAAAGTAGTACTCCCGAATATGGGATTCTTAGAATAAGTTTTATCATTAGCGGGACCTCTTTTTTTTAGGAGGAAGGGATTAAACAGGTCAGCCATTGCATGATTAAGCCAAGCAAGAAGGTCGCTCATCGTAATACGTGTTTGCTTGCTTTGCCTGTCACTTCTCGGGCTGTTGTCTAACTCTAATGCAGGCAAGCATCTTCTGTGCAGGCGCTCGTGCCGTGCCTTGTGGCACCATATCCTGTCGTTGCATAGTCCAAGGGCTGCGACGGGCAGCGAAATGACCGCAAGACTCTTGCCTGCAGTTTTGGGCCCAGAACCTGCCACGGGATCGCATACAGCAAGTGATGCAAATACGTGCGAATCGGGTTCAGCGCACCTCCAGCAGCTGCGGAGAAAGCCTGGGCCACACTGCCACATCAGCAAACAAGAGCGTTGTTCAGAGTGAATCACTTGCCTGAATTCTGTAGAATTCGCATAGATTGAAATGAACATACAACATATTGGTGATCTTGCATGTTCCAATTGTGTAGCCGGTAGGCTGCTCAGCGCGCATCAAACAGGTCGAAGAGCTCATATTTTTGGAGGACAGCGCATGCAAATTTACCGAGCGGTTGGTGTTGGCAAACAATCAACGGCACGCGCCACCAGACCTGAATGCCTTCTGCACAAGAAGCATGTTTTCCATTTGCTTGCAACATACTTGAATGACCGGATTCAAACAGACTAAATGCACCTTAACTGCAATCGAGTCACTCCCGAGGAGATGTGTCTGGTGTGCGAGCAAAAGGGTCGTTGGCTGGCAATGGCTGCACTGGCCTCAGCTGTGTGCTCAAATGCCACAGCAAACGGATTGGCGCCGACCAAGGCTGTGACAGGGCTGTCTTGGCTGACGGCCACTCCTGGGTTTCGCTGCTTCTACGGGCAGCTGATCTAGGTTGATCTGGTATCGACATGGTGCAGCAGCGCATGATGCATGCATCCAAGCGCACCAGGCATTAGTAGGGGGGGAGTTTTGCAGACCACCATGAACCTCAACCCCAAATCTGCCAAATCGACTTGGCGCACGGCCTCGCCACGAGCAAGCTGGTGCCTGCAGCATAAACTTTCAACCCCCACAAACTTGGTGGCAAAGCCCCAGGTCAGTGTCATTTCAACTTGGAATAAGGATTGAGGAATTGTCTCACAGCAACCAATTCTGGCATTGAGAACTTAATCTGGATTATTTTGCCGCTGCCCCTCGACGTCGCTTTACTCCAAATTGAATGATTTTCCATTGAAGCAGTTTTGCTTCTCGAAAAGGGCGCGGTTGCAGCTTTCTAGGAATCTGTCGTGCAAGCCGCTAGGAATACACTAGTCTGTTGTTTGATTTCGTGAATATTTGTGAACATATCTGAATCTTGATGAAAGCATCCCCATGTTTGTCGGTCCTCCATTTGTGTAAGTCTTCCAACAACCAGACTGTTGCTGTAGGGTGGGTTTACGGCAGCTTCGAGCCCTCGAAACTTTTCCAAGATTTCGTGAAGCCCTGCAATTCGAGAAGCAATGCCATGGGCGCGAGCATGGGCCAAAAGGCCCTCGACCCCTTCCAAAATGTGGGAACTTGCATCTTCATTCTGAAAAAGCGGAATATACTATTGACGAATGGGAATTACCTCCATACATCCCAAGTGGGCTTTAAGGGAATTGACTCTAACTATATATACCATGTATATACGCTACGTATGATATATCATATCAATGAATCGTCCTTTTACTCTGGGCTCTCAGTTATCAGGGAAGGAGAGACAATGTACTGGCACCTACATGATTGCCCACCTAAATGTGTACCGCCCTCCCATTCAAGCTTCTGCAGCAGAGTAGCTGTGAGCTGAGGCCATTTGACGTATCCACCGGCCCAGGACTCTGCTGCATCTGATTGCAACCCCACATGTGATGCTCCATAGTGGGATGTCCTCAGTCAGGATGCCACGTTTGCATGCAATACCCAGCGTCATGATTGTTCTCCTCATATCATATTGAACACGTCGTAAGTATTTTGAGCAAGAGTCCATGTGCCGATTGAACATTTACTGGAAAGGGCAGCGCTGGCTTCCTCACATGCTGAGGAATTGATCCTGCCAATTTCAGTAGAATATCCCTGCTGATGCTCTTGCTGGCCACCCAGTCTTGAGAACCTAAGCTCTGCAGCTCTGTTCATTCAAGCAACAACATAAAAACGTGGAGTCTCTCTGAGCCCTTCCATGCAGGCAAATTGCTGGACTGCATCTCTGCCCCGGGCTTTGGATGAAGTCCGTATCGCATCTGCCCCATGGAAGCGTTGTACCTGTTTACGGATCTCGGTCGAATCGGCAAAGCAATCAATGCACAGGATCTAACAAATGAAGAAACATACAGTGCAAGCCGGCCTTCCAATAGTTGGACTATCCATGCCACTGCCGTGGCTGTCCTGTGGTTCCCAGAAGAGGCATGTTGCCATGTTGCCCTCATTTAGCATCCAAGCACTCCTTGACAAGGCCCTCCTTTGCCATAGACACGAAGTCGGCCACTGGACCCGTCATGAACCAGTTAGTCAAGTCCTGCTCTGGCCTCGAACCATTTCTGAGCACTGATGGATCTTTGAATGAAAGAAAAGCACTGCATGGCTTTTGAAGCACTCTGAGTCACACGCTCGCAGGCAAAGTATTCTGGCATTGCCCGGTACAGGCCGAGCAAATCCTGAGATGTCGATAAACGATACATTGCATGGCATTGCATTGCATTCCCCTGCCAGGGGGTGATTCCCAATGCATGGGCAATCCAGCAACACATAGGCACAAACCACAAACATGCAAATATGAGACATGAAATTGTGCCACAATCTGAATGACATTCTTAGTTCTTAGCTATCATAGCTGCACCCCTCGACGCACACATCCGGGCTGACCTTGGTATGCCCAACCTGGATCTGTGTGTGCGTTGAGGGGTGCAGCTATGGTAGCTAAGAAGGAGAATTGTGAAGGGTTCAAGGAGAGTTCCGTAGTGGCATGCAGAGGTTGTATTGCGTGTTGAGAGGTTGCGGTGGTTTGAAGTCGCGTTCTTGGGTTCTCGAAAGGTTCTGGTGGTTGTTGCTGGCCTTGGCAGCGATCGCAACACAAACTAGTGGCACAATTGCAGTAAGAGACCATCCCCTACCCAAAATTGAAACGGAAAGGAAGCAACAAAAACAAAGGTGGTATGCCCAACAACAACCACCAGAACCTTTCGGGAACCGGAGAACGCGACTTCAAATCACCGCAACCTCTCAACACCCAATACAACCGCTCCATGCCACCACGGAACTCTCCTTGAACTCTCAGGGGTGCGACCTTCAAACAAACAGGCAGTCGGCCAGCTGCAAGGTTGCCAACCTTTGTCTCAACGTAAACATGCTTACCCCACCACATGCTCTTCAATGTTGCTCTTGTTAAACACTCGCTTAGCTAATCACACAACAAAAATGGAAAACACCGGACTAGTTCTTTTTGCAGCGCTGCTTTCTGCTCAAATGAGACAACAATTGCAGCGCTGTTGAACGTTTCAGCACGGCAGCATCGAGTCCGAGATTCACACTCACTTCTCACTGCAAAGTATTGCTACGTGGGACGCCACGAAAAGTCAGGCCTCCCCTTCCCTGCATAATTTCCCCTTACCTCTCCTCTGCATAAGCCAGCGCATCGATACCCAAAAGCCGGACGCTCGGGAGGCCCTGTTGACAACTCTCCGATTTCCTCCACACGCTCCTTACAGCTCCTCCGACAGCAACCTGCGACTACCATGCTCCTCTCCACGACCCAATGTCTCATTGCAGAACCGAACCTTCGAGCTCATAGCAAGCGCCACATCCGTGGCCGCTGGTTAGCTTCGGCTCAAATTGCCCACCTTCGCTGGTGCAGGTCTCGATTTCGAGCTCGCTGCAGGGTGAGCGCTTGACATTCAAGGCTAAGAATCCAGTGCGGCGTGAGGAGGGAAGGGGGGAGATGCTGTGGCAGGCTTCATTTGCAGGCCTAGACATCAGCCCAAAGCTCCACGGCGACGGATGTGTCAACACCTGCTTGAATTTGAGGACCACAATGCTCGCGACTCCTTGCAACACTTACAGTGTTTACAAGTTGTTGCCGTAAGTATGATATGTGTCCGCCAGAACGTAAAAGTCACTATTGCTGTTACTTACCACTATCAGGATTGACTGTACCGTACAACCTACATATTATATATACACTTATATAATATCAAAATGTGTTGATCTTGCATCCAAACAAAGGCACTCCATTGCCGTGCGCGCCCTCACGATTCTATGTTTCATCGTGCGCTGATTCGCTGATGTGTTGATCACTGCTTGCCTGGGAAGCGTCTACTCCGGAATCCAGCACAAAGTTGAGGTCAGTGAACGGATCAACTGCAGGCTCTGTCCCTGGCTGTCAAATGCTTCAGAACAAAGCACACATGATTATGAATGCACTGATATGTATGATTGTCATGCCTAAAGTATCCTATGCCCAACATCCCATCACCCTGACCTGGTGTCTGTGGAAGCTCCGCTTCTGCCTGCGGTGTAATTCGTTGCAATGCAATGCTGCTATGCTGAGGCCAACCTTGTCGCTCTCATCATCTGGCAAGTCTGGCCCCAAGCCAGTTTGATCCCGAAGGAACTGCACGGCCTGCGTTGGATCAAGTGTTGTACTCGCTGAAAGGCATTTGCAGAACAATTGTTCCGAGGGGGAATTAAAAACATCATCCACATTGCGCGAAGCAGCCATCAGGGCCGTGCTACAATGTGGGTGCGAGGCAATTTTACAATCCCGGGCCTCTCGCAAGGTGTTTTTGGCGGCCCGGGAGAATGACCATTGGTCAGCGCAAGACACATCTTGGCCTGGCAGAGGCCAAGTTTTGTCCACTGCACCCTGGCTGTTGCTGGTCAAGTTCCATCCGACCCGCCAAGATGCATGGCTTCTACTACTAGTTGCTTGGTGTCGGGCAGAATCCAGCAAGGCTGAGAGACGCCGTATGCACTCCTTAGATACAACGACTGCGCCAAGTTCTCCGCGCTCCGCCAAGTGCAGCGAAGCGTCGAGCCAAGGGCAAATAATGCTCAAGCTCTGGAACACTGCTCAAGCAGTCCAATGCTGGGGGACTGCCATAACTGTTGCCTGTCAAGGCAGTTAACGAATCACCGCAAGCTGCAACCACTTCCAGCCAGCGTTCTCCCAAAGCATAGGTCACTGCCCTGGCCACGACTGTCTGCGGCGTATCAATTTCTGGTGTGGCGCCAAAAACGAAGCCAAAGTCCACTCGGAATAGGGAGCCATCCTCCCGTAGCATGATGTTGTCGTCATGACCATCTCTCACTCCCAGCGAATAACATGCTGTGAGATAAGCTGTGGTAGTGGCCGCCAGCGTATCAAGCTTGTTTGCATCGCCGACCAACGCTTCATAAACGCGCTCGCGCGGATCTGATCTACAAACTCTCCTGAGTTCACGCAAAGTCCTGCATCCGCTGACTGCCTCTATCAGACCGCCAGACTCTCCGATTGGGACAATCCCGTATGTAAGCGTTTGGACTGGCTGGCCGCACACGTACACACAGTGCTCGTGCCATCTACGATTCATCTCCAGAAGTGCGCACATCATAGCGTATTCTTGCCTGACATCGGCAAACTTGACAATGAAGTGCTTGCCCCCGGGATACATACGAAGAAGGTGAGCTCCAGATGCTGTTCCTAGAAGCTTGACAGAAATCATCTCTGCTTCAGCCTGAAACTCGTATAATACATGCCAAATGGTGCAGAAATCCGCCGACTCCTCGCCAAGGAGGGGAGGCGCACGGGTTGACATGAGCATCCTCATGATCCTCATCACGGTGATCATCAAACTAGGTTGATCCTGCTAGTAGCTTGTCTCGTTGTCCTTATCTTTTTGATATGCGTGTTCGTGATGCTGCATAAACTTTACATCTCACGGTAGGCACCGTCAGCATCGTCAGCATCATCATCATCATCATCATCATCATCCTCATCATCATCATCCTCGGCATCATCATCATCATCATCATCATCGTCGTCATCATCATCATCATCCTCAGATCAACACATCATCATCCATCATCATCATCGTCATCATCATCCTCATCATCATCATCATCATCATCATCATCCTCAGCATCATCCTCATCATCGTCATCATCATCATCATCCTCAGCATCATCATCATCATCGTCATCATCATCATCATCATCCTCGTCATCATCATCATCATCATCATCATCAGTATCATCATCATCATCATCATCAGCATCATCATCATCATCATCATCATCATCATCATCCATCATCATCATCATTATCATCATCATCTTGATCATCATCATCATCATCATCTTGATCATCATCATGCTGATCATCAAGGTAGGTTGATCCTGCCAGTAGCTTGTCTCGTCTTTGAAGCTGGGAGCCCTGGTCCGGTGATGCTTGGCGTGCATAGTCGTGAATATCATCATGACTGCTGACGACACTGGCGATGCACAGTGATGATGATGATAGCCCTGCATCTCAGCGTCTAACGGGACACTTGAAACGTGTATCAAAAAGATAAGGACAACAACGACGGTGACGCTGATGATGAATCATCACCAGGCTTGCCCCAACATCATCCGCACCATCATCCTCATTGTCATCCATCATCATCAGCATCATCATCATCATCATCATCATCATCGTGCTCATCATCATCAGCATCGCCGTCCTTCTCTTGTTCATCTACGTTTCAAGTGTGGCGTTAAACCCGACTTGTGATGAGGATGATCCTCATCGTCATGTACATCATCATCATCATCATCATCATCATCATCATCATCATCATCCTTGTGCTATCTTTAAGTGTGCCGGTGAACCCGACTTGAGATGCAAGGGATGCGTAGTCATAAGTATGATCATGGCTGCTGGTGATTCTCGGGATGCATAGTGACAATTGTCATCATGGCACTGATGTAGTAGTGATGATCATCATCCTCATCACAACCGTCCTTATTTTTTGATATACGCTTCAAGCGTGGCGTTAGACCCGACTTGAGATGCAAAGGATGCGCAGTCATGACTATCGTCATGACTGCTCCTCCTCATTGTCATCTTCATCATCATCGTCATCATAGTATCATCATGTTTTCTGGCGATGCTGGGGATGCATTGTGATGATTGCCAACATGCATCATGATAATCATCACGGATGCGGGGGACCAATATTAATCATCATCCATCATCATCATCATCATCATCATCCTTTTCATCATCACCATCATCATAGACAGCGCCTGGTTGGTGCCGTCATGACTATTATCAACACCATTGTCGTCATCATGGTGATCATCAACATCGCCATCATTGCTCGTCCTCATTCATCCTTCATCATTCACCAGCTATCATCCATCATCATCATCCTCATCCTCATCCTCATCATGGTCACCATCATCAGCATCATCTTCGCCATCATCTTCATCACCATCATCATCATGCCATCATCTACACCGGGTCCTGCTTGACAAATTGTCCCCGCAGGATCCGTAAGTTTGCCCATTCAGGATTCTGTCCGCCATCGTCATCATCTTCGTCGTTATCATCTGGGCTGGTGGGTCCGGAGGACTGCTCCAGACTACGCGGCTTCAAAAGACAGGGTCCGGTGTTCACATAAAATCCTTCACCCATCTGAGGTCGGCGGCACTGGGCAGCAGACGTCGCCCACAGAGGCGCATCATCACCGCCGGCGCAACTATTTTGGGGGAAGGCTCAAAACACTTCAAACATGCAGCAACCTGGCTGCATTGCCAGCATCGCCGGCGATTTGGAAGCCCGTCTGCATCCCTTGCATCGCCCGCGTTTGGGGCCAGCCTTCCCCAAAACATTCCTGATGACGCGCGCGCGCGTGCGACACACGCACTTGCGCAACGCGCGGGCCGCACGCATCCATCCATCCATCCCATCCACCCACCATCCATGCAGCCATTCCCCATACATGGCGCACGGCTCGGTTTCTTTTTAGGACTTTCCCTGCCACGCGAGGCCGGTGCGCGAGCGTGAAAATACTGGCATCCGCAAGATCTAAGTACTGATTGCCAAGCGTCTGAAGTCACGCTCGACAAACGCAGAAGTGAATGTGTGGTCTAGCACTTTGAGCACACGTGGGAACTGCACAGTCTCCTCAGCGATTGATTCGGATCACCTAATGGTGTTGTTTGACTGCGCTGGCACCAGGCGCTCAATTGAGCACTACACGCTCGAGAAACTCTCCACATCTCTCAGCCACTTGAACAACGAAAGCACCTGCTCACATCCCTCGAATCCACAATGTGCGTCTGAGCGACACCAACCTTGCGTCCACATAGCATTTCAAGGAGCCACTGTGTTGGTCCGTCACCTCAGCAACCCAATGGAGCCACGCCGTCGCCAACATGGTCAATAGAGATGGCGTTAGCTTGAACTGATTAATTGTGCTCAATCGACAGCAACCATGCCAAGCTGCTCCGAGCCCTTGGCAGAACCTCTCTAGACCCGCTGGCAGAGCCTAGTCCTGCAAGAAGGTCTCCAGCATTTCCAGACACATCTGCTCTCACGGCTGGCCCAGTGGTCCGGCCTTCCTGATTGGCTTGTGCTGCCTAGACAGGGAACCAATGCAAATCCACATGCGAAAGCAGAGTCCCAGTGTTTTAGCAGAAGCTACCAGTAAAGCCGGCAGCCGGGGGAGGCTTCAGAACACAAGAACTCTAGTGATCGTGCTCTTCTTTCCCTCTCTCCTTTCTGGTTATTTCTCTTCCATGTCTTCCCCTTTCCCTTTATTGACATCGTTATCTGTCTCCTTCTTTTTTGTCCTCTCTCTCTCTCTCTCTGTTTCTCTTCCTTCTCGTTGTCTTATTTGTCTTTCTCCGTCTCTTCTCTTCTTGTTCTCTCTCAATCTCTTGTCTCTCAATCTCTCGCTATCTCGCTCTCTCTCTCTCTTTCCTTCTATTCTTTATGTTTCTCCCTTTCGCTTTCTCTTCTTTCGCTTTCTCTTTCTCTTTTGTTTTCTCTTCTGCTTCGCTCTCTCTTTGGGTCCGCGACCGCTCCGCACCCGTTCCGAGATCGTCCCGTTTCAGAGATATCTCGACCGCGGCAGCTTTCGGCCAGGCGGAGAAGCCAAAACCCACAGACAGTTGCTATGTTTCACGATGTCTCCCGTGCCACACGCCTGACATGTTTTCTCGCAGGCGCTCACTCTTTATCATTTTATTCACCTTGTCTTTGCGCAAGCTAACTATTAGTGTCCGCAACACGGAAGTTCTTTCTAAACTTCCATTGGGAATATACAGTTGCATGCGCTAAGTCAACATGTCCAGCAGTCTATGGTCAATTTGGGACTCTCTGAATGAACGCCCCAGCAAACCGAGGCTGCACTAACATTCCGCTGTCATTACGGGGCAGACATGTTCTTTGGTCAGTTGCCTCTGGCTGCTCAGCGCACGTGCCTTGCGCACACTGCACTGGGCATGCCGCCATGCCACGGCTAAAAGGCACAATGCAATATGAAATTGAGTTTGCTCACTGTCTGGCCCTGCAGCTGCGAGCAGCAATCAAAACCATGACTCCAACCTTGACAAGGAAACACTGCCACATTCCACTGAGTGATCAAGCCAATACTGATGAATGGAAAGGCTGAACGGTTTGTGAGCTTCAAGCTGGGTTTGAGATGGCGGAAGTACACCTGCAAGCTTCCAGGCGGGCGCTGCTGTTTCACAATTGCGTGCAAAACGGGAAGGGGTGCAACACATAATGCACAGCCCTTCATGAACAACAACATTGCCACCAAATTGTTGCATGGCTACTGCCAAAATTCCTAAAACCAACATCAACATGCCTGATATGTAAGGTCTCTTTTCCGCTTTGGAGGTCAGTCTGCGCAACCTGCCGGCTGAAATGACAAGGCCATTGCGTGCGACATAAAGCTCATACACAAACGCATTGGATGGTGTTACAGCTCCGCCGTACAAATGGTCGACCGTAGGAAACATCTGCGCAGCATGTCACGGAGCACAAGCGCGCAGTTCCAAGCGGGCAGGACGAGGGATAAGGGGAGCAAACGGAAAGTGGCCCAACCAGAATCCCACTTTTGGACTACCCCAGATTGGACTTCAACCATCTTCAACCGAGGGGTGGTTCATTCCCCCAGAAAGAGAACCCCTGGTTTAAGTCTATCTTGGAGAAGTCAAAAAATGGAACGCTGGGTCCAACAGCTGATTTGATCGGAACTTGCCGAAAGCAGAATCAGGGGTGGTCAGCTGTCACTCGTCCTATGAAATCTTAACAATGCAAGTTGCCACTCACACGCGTGCTCTTTTTTTGTGTTGCGCACTTCCTCAGGCAAAGATAGTATCTCTCATCATCTTGCCCGCGAGAGTCCTTCTCGCTCTGTTTCAATCGCTGAAAGTACGAAGCACCTCGTGGACCTCGGTAGACCGCTCCGCAAACTTCTCGGGGTGGAACCTCGTTGCGCAAGCAAATGCCCTTCTTGCGGACCACTCTGCCGACTTTGTCCTCCTTGGTGCCTGGGGCCGGGAGGTTGCATAAAAGCTTCTTTGAACGTTGTTGGATTGTCCTTCTATTCTGTGGAATTGCTTTTGTTCAGCTATCCCACTCGTTCTAATTTGCTTCAAATGAATTACATTCAAGTACCTGCAGCCATATCCAAAACAAGACAGAGCCCACGAACCCGAATGCACATCACTTTGCGCAAGCCCAAGAAAATAATTAGAGAGAACATTTTTCGGTATAAGCCAATGGGGCTCGCAATCAAGCCTACTGCGCAAACTATGTTTTTCAGCTTGTAAAACTGTACTTTGCGTGCTCCACTTGTTGCTAGAAAGCTACGATTTTCAATCTGGAGCTGGACACCTGCGCTTCGCGCGCTAGACTTGTACTACAAAGTTACGATTTTCCAGCCGGAGCTGGTACTTCGCACACTAGACTTGCGCTACACAGCTGCGATTGTCCAGCTAGAGCTGAAAGCCTGTACTTTGCGTACTAGACTTGTACTACAAAGTTGCGATTTTCGAGCTGGAGCTCAAAACCTGTACTTTGCGTACTATACTTGCACTTCAAAGTTGCGATCTTCCAGCCAGAGCTGGAAACTTGTACTTCACGTACTACACTTGCGCTACAAAGTTGTGAATTTCCAGCTATAGTGCTGGAAACCTGCACACTTTGCGCACTAGGCTCGTACTTCAAAGTTGCGATTTTCCAGCTAGAGCTGGAAACCTGCATTTTGCGTACTAGACTTGAACTATAGAGTTGCAATTTACAGCTGGAGCTGGAAACCTGTACTTCGCGTACTAGACTTGTACTACAGAGTCGCGATTTTCCAGCTAGAGCTACTAGACTTGTACTACACAGTCGCGATTTTCCAGCTAGAGCTAGAAACCTGTACTTCGCGTACTAGACTTGTACAACAAAGGCGTGATTTACCAGCTGGAGCTGGAAACCCGTACTTCGCGCGCTAGACTTGTCAAAGTTACGGTTCTCCAGCTAGAGCTGGAAACCTGTACTTCGTGCGCTAGGCTTGTACTACAAGGTTGTGATTTCCAGCTAGAGCTGGACTTCGCGTACCTGTGCTTCGTGCGCTAGACTTGTACTACAAAGTCACGATTTCCCAGCTGGAACTGGAAGCCTAGCTGGAGCTGGAAACCTGTACTTCGTGCACTAGGCTTGCGCTTCAAAGTTGTGATTTTCCAGACACATGTGCTTCGCGCGCTATACTTGTGCCACAAAGTTGCGATTTTCCAGCTGGAGCTGGAAACCTGTACTTCGCGCACTAGACTTGCACTACAAAGTTGCGATTTTCCAGCGCGTACTAGACTTCTGAGCGACACGTCTGAGCACAACTTCTGATTGACACTAGTGAGCGACACCTGATCAACACTTCTGAACAGCACTTTTTCTGATCGACACTTCTGAGCAACACTTCTGAGCGACACTTTTTCGATCGACCCTTCTGAGCAACACTTCTGATTGACACTTCTGAGCGACACTTTTGAGCGACACCTGACCAACACTTCTGAACCACACTTTTTTTGATCGACACTTCTGAGTAACACTTCTGCGCGACACTTTTTCTGATCGACTTTTCTGAGCAACACTTCTGATCGACACTTCTGCGCAACACTTTTGATCCGGGCTTCTGATTGACACTCCTGATCGACAGTTTGAGCAACACTGCCGAGCCACACTTCTGATTGACACTGATGAGCAACACTTCTGGTCCAAATTTCTCATCGACAGTTCTGAGCAACACTTCTGATCCACACTGCTCATCGACACTCCTGAACGACACTTCTGAGCAACACTGCTGAATTGACACTTCTGAGCGACACTTCTGCGCAACACTTCTGATCGACACTTCTGACCGACACTTTTGAGGAACCCTTCTCATCAACACTTCTGAGCAACACTTCCGATCCACACTTCTCACTGACACTTCTGAGCGACACTGACACCTAATCAACCTCGAAATTCAAACAAAAAACTCGAAACTGCCGCGCTTGTCACGCAAAGTAAGCTTGCCACAAACTCAAAATCATCCAACGTGTTGGACCTGCCACGATTTCCAACTTTGACACGCTTACGACACGCATCCAAAACTAGCACGGGACTGTTGCGCCAGAATGATTTCGAATTTTAACATGTTTCAGGCCCGCCAAAACGAGCCGATTGTACGACAGGGCCAACGAAACAGCGCCGGCGCAAACACTATCACGCGCCTGCCAAGCAGGACACCTCAAAGCGACCGCCCCTGGATCGCAAATCCCACTGGCACGGCAACGAGAACACGCAGCCTTCCAAAACACTGCGCCTGCGCAGCGAAACGACACGTCGAGCTTGAGAAGCTACGATTCGCGCACCGGGCCAATGAAAACAGCACTTGCCAATCCATCAACAACACGCTTCCACGACGAATCCCAATGGCACACGCTTATCGCCGCACTGCGAACGGTTGCGAACGGTTCCGGACGGTTGCGGACGGTTGCGAACTCTGCAGCAACTCCTCGCGAACACGGCCTCCACCCCCAGACCCCCACTTATAAACGGGAACCCTTCTCTACGCATTCGGGAAAAAGTATAGAGCCCCTGAGCACTCCAAAACATTAAGCCCCGCGCCTTTGAGGGCATCATGAAAGATTGCTTTCAGTGGCTCCGAGGAGAAGGTCTCCAGCAACCATTCACCGTATTGCCGGCTGTCTGTGCAGATTGTCAAAATGCCCTGCGAGGCAGAGCTGATCGGAACTGACAAAGCAGTGAATTCATGGCCCAACATTCACTGCACAAAAACATGCGGCCATGAACTGTGCAGAGCGGCCTCGTCTTGCAAGGCGCGGGCACAGGCTTTCTGCAGAAAACTCTGGGTCAGCAAATGTGTCGCTTCAGCATCGCCTTTGGCACAAGCCTCTGCTGCACGTTGGAGATCTGTTTGATGTGGTGGCTCTGGGTGGTTGATGAACAACTTGCTGCAACTTCCTGCAGCTCATCACAAACTCTCATGAGCACTCTCAAAGGCCCTCTGGTTGCACAGTACGGTCTGCTTCAACCCAAACAGACCTTGTCAGCAATGCGGGTGATCTTCTTAGCGTTGCATGACCAGGCCGTGCGTCGCTCAGAAAAGAAACAAACAGCTTGACACTTACCTTTGCATGCTGGGTTGAGAAAGGGTCCAACAAATGCTGAGTGAGTAATTAGCGGTGCACCTCAAGTGCTGGCGTTGGGCTTGTAGCTCACCGAGACCATGGCGGTCAGTGCCAACCCACTAGCATACTACTAGCATGCCAGTCATGGAGGGCCGATGTATTGACACACATACCTCACATAACGTCTATCCACAAGCGCCCTTGCAAATCGGTTGCGTCCGAACATGTTGGCTAAACCAAAAAACTTGCCGATACTAAGTTATAATTAGTCAATGCTAAACCAAGTTTGGATTCTCGTTTCTCAAACAGTTTGCTCATCAGAGGGCCCTTTGCGCTTGCTCAGCACAAACTGCCTTTGTCTCGTTTCTTGTCATTCAACCGCTCACCAAGCATTCTGATTACTTTGTTGGGTCCGAGAAGGGGGAGTGCACTGCAATAGCAAAACCCTCACGGCCCCCTAAACTTGCCTGCCGCGAACAAGGCCCCTAATAAGGAACACACTTCCCAATTCGATGTTTTAGGGGGAAACCTTTGTTAGGCGGAGGGGACAATGTGATCACAACTGCATGTTTTGCAGTCACCCACTGTCGGAACCCCATACACTTTCGTGCACTCACAGGCCTGGCATCAAGCGCTTTTCCAGCGCCATGCGCGCGTCCCCCACAATGAGCCCAGCGTTGCCAGCTTGGCTAAGGCCTCGCAGGGCAAAGCGCTGGAAGCACCTCGCAGCACGGTCAAAGCGCAGCTCACAGGCCACCCAGTCTGCCGAAGGATCGCGCAGCGCCTGCACGAGATGTCAAGAAACATACTGCTGAAATATACTGATTCTGAGTCGATCTGAGTTGTGTTCTGTCAATTGATGTTCATCATGTTCATCTATGCATGCGACGCGCACGTGCGCCTGAGAGCACAGCCACTCTCCAGAACCACTGCAGAGCTCCAGGTGCAGTGGTCGATCTCGATCTTCACAGAAAATAGACTTCAAATCGAATCGCCGGGCCTTCTTTTGTTTCTTGCTTGGCTGCTCTGTAAATGCTGAGTTGAACCTCTTTGATATTCCTTTGGCTGAGGATGTGCTGGAGTCCAAGCCAAATTTGTCACAAATCCTGCGACACATTGCATCCCCTAGCGTCTCTGAATCAGCGACACTGCAGTCACCATAGTCCTCAAAGCACAGAGTCCTAGTGTACAAACCATCCAAATCTACTGTATCCAGCTTTCGCTTGCTGCTGCTTGTATGGCTCTTCTTGTCTATGAACTCTTCAATCTCCTTGAGGTCAGAAAGGATCTCTCGTCTTCGATGGCTCTGGAATACCTCCAGACTCTTTGCCCTGGCAGAGTCACGGTCATCGCCGTCTTGGCTCCACTTTCTTGTTGCGCGCTTGCCGCCACTCCCTGCAACAGCTGAAAGCTTGCTGTCTGAAAAGCCTTCCTCCTGTGACAAGAGCTTGCGGGCGCGCTTCACATTTGCTGCAGCCACGTCATCTTTGCTGCAAAGAAGGGCTGCTCGAGCAACAGAAACAAACATGGAAGCGCAGCCTGGGCTAGCTCCCAACTTCCCAACGGCTTCAACTGCAAGGTTGCGAGCATCGGCATATCTCAGCGCTTGGCAGAGCAAAGACACCACAAGCTCGTAGGTTGAAGCGTCAGGTTTGCCGCCATGATCTCTCCAGTCTTTTTGTGACGCCCAAACCTCGTTCATCCTTTGCAGAACGGCTTCGGCATCGTGCACTGAGCCCAAAGTCAAACACCCCCGCAGAAAGGTGTTGGCCGTTCGGACATTGGGCCGCCCAGCAGCCTTCTCCTTCTCCATTCGCTCCAGCAGGGCTCGGGCTTTGCCCAGGTCTCGAGCACACTCCACGTAGCCACGGAGCATAGAGGTGCGGGTGATCAGCCCTGAAGCCGCCCCTGTGCCGCGCTTGAAGAGCCCAAACTTCTCTGCTCGGCTCAGGGCAGCCTCGGCGCCCTGCCAGTCACCGCAGCGGCACAGTGCATGCACCGCTGCAGCGTAGGTATGGCCGTTGGCCCACTTCTTTCCTTCCAGCTCGGAAAGGGTTGATCGCACAGCAGCCAAATCGCGCACTTGTGCATGAGCTGCAATTTGCCGATTTAAGGCAACCAGCTCCTCCCGTACAACTGGCACCCACTGCTTTGTGCTTTGCTTGTCCACAGGCTCCCAGTCTTTCCAGTTGCCTTTCCAATTGTTGTCTTTTCTCCAGCTGTTGCTCGCATCTTCAGCTGCCTGTTCAAAGTGCGGCTTTTTCCTCCGCTCAGCATTAGCAGCGGACCACGCACCTGGCTCTGCCTTGACTGCTCCAGCACGTGCTGCCTCTGCATTTCCAGCCAGAAGGCGTTGCTTTGTGGCCAGTAGCTTCTGCATCAAACCCTTACTGACCCCTGCTTTGCCAATGTCATCGATTCTCGCATGCCCGCTCTGAAGTTGAGAGCCCTGGCTCTTAGGTTTCTCATCCTTGTCCTTGCCATCTTTAGTGGCCCAAGCCTTTGAGCCCCCAACCTTCTTCTTGGACTTGAACCAGCGATTGAACTTGTCCTGTGTGTCCTTCGGTTTATCACTGGATTTCTGAGCTCCTGATCGAGCCATAACTCTCCATGGGCAAGCGCTCTTGGAGTTGGGGTCTTGAACCAACTGGCCACTGGTGGCGGTAACTCGTTGTTTAAGCAGCCTCTGATGTAGCAAGTCAGTTGCTGCATACTCCTGTGCGAATTGCAAGCATTCACGCAACTCCACGCGCCTTTCTTGCGACAGGGCTTCTGCAAAGCAATGCAGCGTTGGCTTTTCTGCATGCCTGGTCGTCGCGCGTGCTGCAGGTGTGGGTGTTGTGTGTGCATGTGCGGGCGCGAATGCTCGAAGCGGGGACGCCTGCATGCGCCTTGTGCCGCGTGCCGTGTGCGTGCGCCGTGTGCCGTGTGCCGTGGGCCATGCGCGTTGCGCCGGTGTGCCGGTGCGGGGCAGCGAGGCGCGGTGCGGTGCGGTGCGGCGCCGTGCGGCGGCGCGCTGCGCCGTGCGGTGCCGTGTGCGGTGCGGCGCCGTGCGGTACCGTGCGGTGCGGTGCGGCGCCTTGCGGCGGCGCGCTGCGCCGTGCCGTGCCGTGCGGCGACGCACGGCGCCGTACGGTGCCATTGGAGCCGTGCCGCGCAGCGCCGTGCGTGCGTGAGCGCGTTTGTGTGTTTGTGCGTTTGTGCGTTTGTGCGTTTATGCGTTGGTGCGTTGGTGCGTGTGTGTGCGCGCGCGTGCGGGTGTGTGCGGGTGTGCGTGTGTACGGGTTTGCGCGTGTGCGTGTGTGCGCGTGTGCGTGTGTGCGTGCGTGTGCGTGTGTGCGTGTGTGTGCGTGTGTGCGTGTGTGGGTGTGTGGGTGTGTGGGTGTCTGTGTGTGTGTGTGTCGGTCTGTGTGTGTGTGTGTTTGTTTGTGTGTGCGTCTCTCTGTGTGTGTGTGTCCGTGTGACTCTGTGTGCGCGTGTGACTCTGTGTTCGTATGTCTGTGTGTGCGCGCCTGTCTGTCTCTGTCTCTGTCTCCGTCTCTGTCTCTCTGTGTGGGTTTGGGTGTGGGTGCGAGTGTGGGTGCGGGTGCGCGTTCGAGTGCGCACAATCTGATCACGGTCAAACTGCTAGCGCAAATCAAAATCAAGTGGTACGAGTAAGACAGCTTGCGCCTGGACTTTGGCAGCTGCCCAGCAGATCGGCACGGCATCTGAGAGCAATGTGCATAGTACAAACGAGTGATGGGTTGCTAGTCAAACTCGAACCTGGAACAAGCCTTTTCGCAGTGATCTACGCAAATAAAACCGGGCTTGCGCTGCTTGCATTTGTGTGGCAGGCTTTACATGGCAGCACTACACCTGCGACACAGTCTGCTGAAAAGCATATGTCATACTGTGGATGGACGAAATCTCGTGGGGCTAAGAACCCCTGGAAGGGTGATTCACATGTAAATACCAACAAACAATGAATGGTTTCCCATGATTTCAAAGTGGCGCCGGATTTCATCCATCCACAGTAGGACGCCATGCCCCCCCAACCCACTCTCCAGTGCCCCCCCCACCAAGAAACAATGAAAAAAAACAATCCTGATTCAGGATACTGGTTCAAATATGGCATTAAGGCAGACATGATTCCTAAGCCTTATGAATTCAGTCAAAGGAAGGTACTGATAAGGACTCCTGACAGAAAAAGCCCAACACCGAATGTTCTGCCGATTGGGCCATAGGGGCTCCTGGCAGAAGAAGCCCAAAACTGCACGTGAGGTGTTGTTAAGTTCCTTCCAAAGAAAGCGACAAACTTGCGCTTCGTGCTCCTAAACAGTTGCTAAGTTTGTTCTACGTATGCTTTCTCTTCTGGAGAAACACTGCCTTACTTTAAATCGGTATGACGGGCTAGCTCCAAAGTTGAACCGCTTGAACAAACATACTTTGCTGGCCAACCCCAAAATGCAAAAGGCCTTTTTCATGACCCCAACCCCGAACCTTCATAGACTGCAATCCCGCAGGCTGTAGTATTTGAACACTGAACTGAGAACTGCTACCAACGCGGGGACTCCCCAATAAGGGGTTGCAATACCCTGCAATTGCAAAACTGCTTCCAACAGGAACCTCGACTTAGGCACCCCCAAGTATTCTGCGTTCAACAAATGTACCCAACAGCCTGCTTCCCGTGAGGTTGCGCATCAGTTCTTTGCAAGTTGCGAGGTACACCCCAGTTGAGGCCAACTCGTAGGTGGCGAAGCTTCATCCCAAGGCGTCAGAACCAACTAAAAGCCAATTTTGGGGCTTCATGGCCACCGCTTGGCGCTTGGTTTGCAACAAGTCGCACCGAGCATTCTGATTAAGGCCCTGCTAAGGCCGCAGGAATCAGTTGTGGTAAAGTACACACATTTTTGCATGTCATGCCCGTACCGACACCCTAAGGAAGCGACCTAGCGTCAGTCATGTTTAAGTCATGTTGTTTTTTTCCGCAATCAGACATTATTGTTGGGGGGGTGTAGCATTGTCCAAATACAACATAGAAGCAAGAGGCACAAGTGATTGATACTTTTGTTCACTGATCTGAGCTGCCCCTCCTAGGGCGTGAAAAACAACGTGACCCGTGACTGACATGTGAAGGCGCACCCCCAGCAGCGAAATGGCTGCTGCTTCCGCAGCCATTTGTAGCCTATCCTGCAGTGAAACAGATGAGATGCTTGATGCTAGGAACCAACGGCACTTTGGAATCTTGCAACACTTGATCCCTGGCAATTCAGAGGTGCACCTCTGGCGACTTCGGCATGAAGAACGCGGGAGCCTCGGGTAGCCCAAACGCGTTGCGCGTTGCAACTCAAAGCTTCACCTGGTGCATCCCAATGCAAATGGTCAACCATCGTAGCTTGACTCCTTCCGCAAGCCCATGGCACCAAGCACTCACTGAATTACACTAAGCATCAAGCTTCTTCTAGTCGAGGCAGGCTCTGAGCCAGCGATTTGGATGACGCGAAACTTCCTGGCCAGCACAATCTTGCTTGCACTGATGGGCCTGCAGCATTCATGTAACTCATGTGATGGATCTGACTGCGCAAGTCGCAAACCGGCAGGGACGAAGCAGTCAGCGCACCTCGACCTTCAGTCTTTGCAGTTGCGGCGCTGCGCTTTCTGCGGCAAGCGTGCCGGGATTCTTCTTCACACAGCACCACATGGCAGTGTGCCTTGAAAGCTCAAGGTCAAGGAATCAGGCCATTGGTGCGTTCGGAAAAGCCTGCGGGGGAAGCGTAGCCTGGAAGTACTAGTGGTACTGTTGCATATGTCCTTTTATGGAACAGCACATTCATACAAATATTGCACAAATGGTGACAAACTTAGAACACACGTGCCCTCATGTTCGCACTTTTGCGTTTGTGTGTGTGTGTCTCTGTCTGTCTCCGTCTCTGTCTCTATCTCTGTCTCTGTCTCTGTCTCGGTCTCGGTCTCTGTCTGTCTGCATGCCTGCCTGCCTGTTTGCCTGCCTGTATGCTTTGCATGTGTGTCTCTGCGTTGAAGCAGTGCGCGTGTGCCTGTGGAGCGTGTGCGTGCGTGAGCGGTTTGGTGGGTGAGGGTGGGGATGAACAAGCGCAGACGGGATGAAAAAACGAGAGTATGTGGGTGCTTGGGTATGTGCGTGCGAGCTGCAAATGTGTGTGTTTGCGCGCGTGCGCGTGGGCGTGGGCTCGGCTCGCACACGCTTGAACGGCTTCTGCATCTGCGTTTGCATCTGCACCTGCGTCTGCGCCTAGGTCCCAGTCTGCATCTGAATATGTGCCTGCGTCTGAACCTGCTTCGGTACCTGCGTGGCAGCGTAACACGCGGGCGCTGGCGCAGGCGCGCGCAAGCGCGTGCGGTGCCCGATCTGCGCGTTGTTCGCCGCGTTGCGCGCTGCGCTTGGCAAGCGGACTTCTTGTGCGCATTGCGCAGCGCCCGCGTGCCTGCATGCCTGCGTAGGTGAGTCCTTGCTTGGTGGTGTGTGTGTGTGTGTGTGTGTGTGTGTGTGTGTGTGTGTGTGTGTGTGTGTGTGTGTGTGTGTGTGTGTGTGTGTGTGTGTGTGTGTGTGGTGTGTGTGTGTGTGCGTGCGTGCGTGCGTGCGTGCGTGCGTGCGTGCGTGCGTGCGTGCGTGCGTGCGTGCGTGCGTGCGTGCGTGCGTGCGTGCGCGTGCGTGCGCGTGCGTGCGTGCGTGCGTGCGTGCGTGCGTGCGTGCGTGCGTGCGTGCGCGTGCGTGCGTGCGTGCGTGCGTGCGTGTGTGTGTGTGTGTGTGTGTGTGTGTGTGTGTGTGTGTGTGTGTGTGTGTGTGTGTGTGTGTGTGTGTGTCTGTGTGTGTGTGTGTCTGTGTGTGTCTGTGTGTGTCTGTGTGTGTCTGTGTGTGTCTGTGTGTGTCTGTGTGTGTCTGTGTGTGTCTGTGCTGTGTGTGTCTGTGTGTGTCTGTGTGTGTCTGTGTGTGTCTGTCTGTGTGTGTCTGTGTGTGTCTGTGTGTGTCTGTGTGTGTCTGTGTGTGTCTGTGTGTGTCTGTGTGTGTCTGTGTGTGTCTGTGTGTGTCTGTGTGTGTCTGTGTGTGTCTGTGTGTGTCTGTGTGTGTCTGTGTGTGTGTGTGTGTGTGTGTGTCTGTGTGTGTCTGTGTGTGTGTGTGTGTGTGTGTGTCTGTGTGTGTCTGTGTGTGTCTGTGTGTGTCTGTGTGTGTCTGTGTGTGTCTGTGTGTGTCTGTGTGTGTCTGTGTGTGTCTGTGTGTGTCTGTGTGTGTCTGTGTGTGTCTGTGTGTGTCTGTGTGTGTCTGTGTGTGTCTGTGTGTGTCTGTGTGTGTCTGTGTGTGTCTGTGTGTGTCTGTGTGTGTCTGTGTGTGTCTGTGTGTGTCTGTGTGTGTCTGTGTGTGTCTGTGTGTGTCTGTGTGTGTGTGTGTGTGTGTCTGTGTGTGTTTGTGCGTGTGTGTTTGTGTGTTTGTGTTTGTGTGTGTGTGTGTGTTTGTGTGTGTGTGTTTGTGTGTGTGTTTGTGTGTATGTGTCTCTGTGTGTCTGTGTGTCTGTGTGTCTGCGTGTCTGCGTGTCTGCGTGTCTGCGTGTCTGCGTGTCTGTGTGTCTGTGTCTGTGCGTCTGTGTGTCTGTGTGTGTGTGTGTCCGTGTGTGTGTGTGTCTCTGAGTGTGTCTGTGCGTATGACTGCGTCTGTGTGTGTGTGCGTGTCTGTGTGTGTGTGTGTCTATGTCTATGTGCTGTGTGTGTGTGTGTGCATGTGTGTCCATGTGTGTGCATGTGTGTGCATGTGTGCGTGTGTGTGTGTGTCTGTGATTGTGTGTTTGTCTGCGTGTGTGAGTGTGAGTGTATGCGTCCGTTTGTGTGGTTGTGCGTTTGCGCTTGCGTGTGGGTTGCGTTGTCCGTTTCTGTTTGTTTTGCTTGCGCGTGCTTTGTTTACGTTGCACGCATCGCGCTCTTGTGCTGAAACACGTGCGCGCTCGTGTGGGTTGCGTGGCGTGTCGTGTGTCGCGCACGAGAGTGCCGCCCCTGCCTGCTGCTCGGCGATTTCTTGCTCTTTGGCACACGCGCAGCGCAGCAACAGGAGGGGTGTTCCACTCCTGGTCCGACAACGGCAACTTAGCAACATCTGGCTGGCTGCAGCAATCAACACCTCAATAAATCCCACCAAACTTAGTCACGGACTGACAAGCCCAGAACATTTCCAAAACATTCCAAAACCAGCGTTGGCCCCTGGTTTTTGCTGGCCACCACCCCGGCAAGCGACCCCAAGCAGCACCCAGAGCTGTGATCGCACATTGTTTGCGCGGGAAGAAGTCTACCCGCTGTCGACTATGGAAGGCTAGAGATCTCTTGCTAAAACCTACAAAGAGGGCCCATCGCAAGATCTCTGATCTCGGAGCAGGAAGGAGACGATCTGCTTGGCGGAGCTCTGCGCAAAATCCCTCTACTCTTGAACCGCCTGACGCAAAACCTCACCCTGCGAACTATCTTTTCGAGAAGATCTTCGTTGAACTAGTGGGGCGGGGCGCTTGGACACTTCTGCATTTGTCTCCTGGTTGCCAACTCATCCACTCCACCCCGTACCCGCTCACACACGTCCCTTGCCTAACCGTTCTGGTATTGCTGTTGCTTTGCGAAGTCGATCGACGAGTCCATGTTACAAGAAAGAGCTTGGCATGTAACTTGTTTGTTTAATTGTTTGTTTGTTTGGTTGGTTGTTTGTGTGTGTGCGTGTTTGTGCGTTCCGGTGTTTGCGGTGTGTTTGTCTGTGTGTGTCTCTGTTTGTTAGCCTTTGGTATTTATGTATCTACTTGTGTCTTCCTTCTTTGTTTCTTTGTTGGTTTACTTGCTTGTTCGTGTGTTTGTGGTTTGCTTTCAATTTTGTTTGGTTGTTTGCTTGTTCCTTTGCTTATTGCTTTGTTTGTTTCTATGTTTCTTTGTTTGTGTGTGAGTGTGCAGGTAGGTGTGTGTGTGTGGTTTATTGTTGTTTGCTTGCTTGCTTGGTTGGTTTGCTTGTCTGTTTGCTTGCGTGCTTGCTTCCTCCCTTGCGTTTGTGTGTGTGTGTTTGATTGTTTGTTTACCTGTTTGTTTGGATTTATTTGAGCCGTGCCAAATACTCTTGTGTAAAAAGCGGTCCTATGAACTTGCTTTCGCGGACCCTTTCGCGATGCTTTCGCGACCCCATGTTTTGCTTTCGCGAGCTTTGTTTTCTTTAGAATTGCTTTCGCGACGCTTTCGCGGCGGACTGCCGCACAGCATGCAGGCTTTCGCGGGTCTTTCGCGGCGGGACCTTCTTTGGTTACTTTCGCGATAAGCTTTCGCCAGCTTTCGCGGCCTGCGTTTTGGCTTTCGCGGGGATTCTATAGGACACCCCCCTTTACTACTTTGTATTGTCAGGGTTTATGGCGCTGCTCATTTGTGTTTGTATGTGTTTGCAAATATGATTATTTTTTTTGTGATTGTTCCCTTGATTACTTCGTTTGGCTTGCTTGTGTTTGACTTCGCTTGTGCGCTGTTGTGTCTGATTGTTTTCGTATGTTTGTGTTTGTCTTTGTTGTTCTGCTTGTTTGTTTGCGTGTTTGTTTGTTTGTTTGTTTGTTTGTTTGTTTGGTTGGTTGGTTTGTTTGTTTAATGGTTTGTGTTGTTTGTTTATTTGGTTGGTTGTTTTGCTTGTTTGCATAATTGTTTGCCTATTTGCTTGGCTCGTTATCTGTTTGGCTCTTTGTCTTGTTTCTTGGTTGATTGATTGATTGATTGATTGATTGTTTGTTTGATTGTTTGTTGGTTTGATTGTTTGTCTGTTTGGCTGATTCGTTGCCTTCTTGCGCGGTTGTTTTGGTTGTTTGGCTTTTTTGTTTGTTTGGTGGTTTTGTTGGTTTGATTGTTTGTCTGTTTGGCTGATTCGTTGCTTTCCTGTGTGGTTGCTTTGGTTGTTTGGTTGTTTGGTTGTTTGGTTGTTTTGCTTGTTTGGTTGTGTATTGCTTATTTGTTTGTGTGCTTGAGTGTGTGTGTGTGTGTTTGTTTGTTTGTTTGCTTGATTGCTTTAGTCTGTTCGCTTCTTGGCGAGTTTGTTCGTTTGGTTGGGTATTTGCTTGTTTGATTGTCTGTTTGCTTGCTTCGTTGGTTGTTTGTTTGCTTGTTTGTCTGTGCTTGATTAGTTTGTCTGTTAGTTTGTTAGCTTGGTTTGTTGTTTTGTTTGTTGTTGATTTGTTGTTTCGTTTGTTGTTGGTTTGTTGGTTTGTTAGATTGGTTGTTTGCTTGGCTGGCTGGTCTGTTCTGTTTGTTTGATTGTGTTGCTTGTTTTGCTTTATTGCTTGTTTGGTTTTATTGCTTGTTTGGTTTTATTGCTTGTTTGTTTGGCTGGTTGTATTTGTTGCGTGCTTTCCTTGTTTGTTTGTGTTGATTGTTTGTTTGATTGCTTGTCGACTTTGGCTGATTGGTTGTCTGATTGGTTGTGTCTTTGTGTTTGTCTGGTTGCCATGGCTTAGTTGCTTTATTGTTTCTTTTGTTTGGCTGTGTTGTTTGTTTATTTGCTTGTGTTTGCCTTGGTAATTGTGCTTGCTTGTTCGTTGGTTGTTTTCTTTGTTTGGTGCTTTGCCTGTTTGTTTGATTACTTGTTTGCTTGTGTCTGATGTGTTTGATTGTTTGTCTGCTTTGTTTGTGGTTCTGTTTGCTTCGTTTCATTGATTGCTTGATTGCGCGCTTGCTTGTTTGTGTGTCTGTCTGTCTGTGTGTGTGGAGTTGACCCTCTGCATCTCCAGCATCATTGGCTTGAAAATTTCGGCTTGCTACGATAGGTTTGCTTTTCATGGATGTCAGTTGATCTTATCAGAAGATCCTGAAGAAAGAATACCTCTGCAAGGCATCGACACGGCCCCGTTGCTCATCCGCAATCTCAAGCGCCGGCCAGCATCCACTTTGGGCTGGTGGGTGTATACTGAAAGGTTCGGCCCACCGACCAAAAACACAGAGTATTGCAGAGAAACGAAGGGTGCAAGTTGCCAAGCACGGGCAGTCACTGGCAGTCACTGGCAGTATTGTTGTCAACACACTGGCATCTGTTGAGCTCTGATCTGGAATGCTCTGTCTGCATCGCCAAGTGAAAGCGTCCAGAGAGGAGGGGGGTCGCCCTCCAAGCACGAAGACATGCAATCCCTCCCCTTTGCCGCCCACCACAGACTTGTGCATTAAGCTCCGGAAGCTGGCGAGAGAGGCGCGTTAGATTGAAAATACGCAGACTTGCAGCTGCGAAGAGACAAAGAAAGCCAATCTTGTCTGGCATGCAATGCAAACATGTTGGTCTCATCATGTCAACCCCTGACTCTCATGGTAAAAGCCAAAGAAACTGTTGCGGCTCCTGGCTTCCGCATCTGCATTCATGATATTGCAGACGGGTCGGCCATACGGCCACTTGAGCCCATGCCAGAATTCCATCCACATGTTCATGCCAAAATTGCGCATGGTGGAGAATACTGATGCTTCAACATCTACGATATCTACGCATGCAAATGAACTTGCCGCAACCCTTGCATGTTTTGGCCGGCGGCAATTGACGGCGGCTTGGCAAAAGCTCGCGAAAGGTGAGGGAAACTCTCCTGTAACCTGCCGCACGCATGACCACTATGTCCCGTGGTCTGAAGCTGGTCTAGAGGAAGGATGATACACACCATCTTGAACATCACAAATGTTCATTCTTCAGCCAACAACACACCCAGGATTGTGGGGTGTCAACTTACCCAGAACACAACAAATAAGCCGGGCCCCGCAGCGCACCAGTCCAAAAATGCCTGGTCCTCTCCGCTGAATTTGTCCATCTGCAAGCTGAACCTGAAGCAACAAAGACACATAATTTGCTTTTAGCATACATGGGCAATGTCGGCAATGTTTAATGGGAAATTGAGGCAAACAACTTGGCAACCGTGTTGGGAACAGGGTGCTCACAGGGCATCATTTGGACGGGCTTGGCCTCTGGCAAGTCTTGACCTCCGAATTCCATGACAGAAGTCATAACGGCTTGTGCCTGCAAGCAAACGTCAGTAGAGTCTGGTCAGTGTGAGACACTTGAAGCGCTGCACAGCGCTGTGTCCCACCTTGGAGAAGCAACAAGCTCCTGGGTTCCAGAAGGATCTTCACCCAATTGCCATGGTCGGCACCATCGCTGCGGATCTCCTGCTCTGGCAGCAACAGCCATGCGAATTGCAGCGAGTCTCCGAGTCCTGATTTGCCGGCATGAGCGTCATCTCTATCGGGGCCAGCAGTGACAAAGTGCCCAAGTTGGCTCCAAATGCCGTCGGCTCTTCGACATGTGAAGAGATGCCTGTTGCTCCCAGGTATTCATTAGCAGCGACCTGCAAGTGCAGCGCAAGTACACCACGTGGCACAACGCTCACCAATGCTCAACACCTTATGGCCACACCTGATTCACCTCTCCTTCCCTGGGGAAAGCGCCGGTGGCCACGATTCGCTGCCTCAGCTTTTGATCGATCCAATGTTTGGTATAGCTTAGCACAACCGGCGATCAGAAATATCCGAGAAGTATCCAAGCAAGGCTCGAACGAGTGTCGCCATGTTTTGCTAAGCCGCATCAGCCATTCTGGTAACTCTTGCAGTGGTCTAGCCTCCCGCTGAGAAGCAGGGTGATTTGGCTGGAGGGCTGGCAGTTCGTGGCTTGTCCTCAGCGTGAGGGGGACCACTCAAACACCCTAAAATTGAAAATGTCATTTGGGGGTGTAGCCTTGACAGAATTCAAATTTGGACCCTTCCAGGATGCAACCCATCAGGAAAATGCACTGCTGCTTGCGTGTGCTTTCATTTCGCTCATGCTCGTGTTTGGCCGCGCAAACTCTTGCATCATGGATGCCAAAATATACCTGATTCAATTCAGAGAGGTTGGGTGGCATTGCTTCACTGTCTTTCGGAAATGTTGGCAATGTAAGGCGGGCGAGAGACGACAAAACACGTCATGCATGTGAGCTAGAGCAGTTTGCTACATTGGAGGAATGCATGTGGCAATGTTGAAGGGTCATCACCTGCTGCAAAACGTGGTTTCGTGGGCGTGGCTATCAAAAACTGTGGTTCTGCGCTCGTTGTGAGCGATTCGATCTTCATATTACATATTTGGCGGATTGCCCAAAATCAGCACATCGCCCAACCCGCAATGCGTCAAAGAATCTGATAATACACCAAGCCGAAGAACTGCTGGGCTCGACTTTTGATGTGCCGAAGCCTTGCATCAGCAAGGAACTGCCTGCAATGCAATCGCAAGCCACTTGACCTAGGACATTGTAAGACTCAAGACCTTCTGACTCAATGTAGCCTGCTTCTGCTTGCTTTACGTGCCAACCAGGTAACCATGGACCAGCTTCCAGCAACTTGTCCAGCTCCTGTTCCTCTGCCCTGCTGATGAAGTTTGGGCAGTACCTCCGGTGTCTTCGCCCTCGATTGTTTGCAGATCTTTATTGAAAAATGACAAGCCAAAGGCTTGCATGCCAGGCCTCATGCCACTGGGCAGTTCTGGGTGGAAGCGCTGGCCAAAACGAGCATGAGGCCTCTGGGGCCCGTCAGCGCGGTTTGCTCCGAACACTCCATGCAGGTCAGGTAAATCTAAGGGCCAGAGGTACGGACAAAGACCATCTGATCTGCGTGGCTGATGCTTCCAGTGCCTTGGCAAACCGCAACCCGGACGACTGCGTAGAAGCCAATCTCTCAGCCGCGAACAGGCGAACGAAGTGACGCACCAGCCTAATGCAAACGCCCCATCAGCACGCACAAATGTGTGAAGAAACGACACACAGCATGCATCTGTCTGCCCAAATCTGCCCATCAACTCTCAAGCTCCGATATCGCTTGAGTAAGTGGCTGCCGCAATGGCACCAGCGAAAGCAAGACCTTGCCAAGCATGGCCAAGCATGGCCAAGAACTTGGCTTACGTCTTAAAGTTTGTGCTTGCAAATAATATGCAATGGCACAGCACATGATCGTTCAGGGCAAGCAGAGTACCTAGCAAGCTCAAGCTTTGGGCGCCTCTTCTTGGCTGCAACTGAAAGCGCTGCAAGCGGATATTCATTGGATTGGAGAGCGGACAGCGTTCCTCATGGTCCAGCCGTGAGCAAGCACTGTCTGAAGATTGTTGGCTGGATGACACGGCGTTTGCTGTCCACTTTGACGCTTCAGGCAAGATATTCTGTCAAACCACAGCTAGCATAGGACATTAAATCACATCAATATTGTCACGATTGCTGTGAATCCTGGTACGCAAAACTTGTGCTATGTGCTCGGGTGCCATGTTGATTCTGGCTTGATTGCAGCGGTCCCTGCTACGTGTGACTCGCAACATCTGATCTGTGCAGCACCGCCAAGCGAGCTCCCATAGCAGTCGTGGCCCTCTTTTTCTTGGCTACCCTTGTGCATCCTCCCCCACAAGGACAATCCAAATGACACCCCGCCCCAAAGTGTGGTGATGATGCCTTTGGCATTCACAGCTCCACATAGTCACATGGTTGCTTCACACATTCTCTGCTGGCTGCCGGAGTATGTGGAAATGGTTGAAGAGCTGACGAAGCACATTGTGAGGTGCACGTATTTACTGCATCCGATTCTGACATCTTTCTGAACAAGAAAAAAAACAGCCCTTATTGGTTAGCAAGTCTGCCGCCCAGGTCAGTCATCGTGTCCCGCTGGCTCCTGCACTTCCAAACATTTGGGAAGCGAGGAATTCAAATGACGAGGAATGCAGCTCTTTCGCAGCATCTCTTCGGCAACGCCTGGCCTGGAGGAGCACGGAGCTCTTCCCAGTTGCAGGACCTGAGACAAGGAGCACTGGGCACAACGCCAGACACAAACTGTACAAATCCCAGGCCTTCATGATCTAACCGCGCAGGAATCACCGGTGGATTGATTTGGCCCACTGGCCTCGAATCTCTAAATTGCTTCATCAACGCATTTTGTGTCACGTTGCAAAACCTGATCTACAATATTTTGCACAAATCAGGAAGCCTTTCTGGCTTCCAGGCCAAAAGCCAGCTGCTGGGCCTCCTTGCCCAGAAGGACAACACAAGGTCTTCGCGTCGCTGCCTGAGTACGTGGCTCTGCAAACATTGCTGTACTATTTTTTGACAAGCCCCAGGCTCAATTTGGGGCATGGCCCCCACTTCTGCCAGCAGTGCAGTGGCCTGCTCATCACTCATCAAAAGCCTCTCTGACTCTTTGACTTATGCAGACTCTTGAAAGCATTGAGAGAATGATGTCTGAATGTCTTATGCGGCCATGTGGTCTTTCTGTATCTTCTTTTCGACAGCGGCTCTCCGTTGCTTGGGCTCACTGGGCGAATGATGGCATCACAGCAAAGGCTTTGAGGCTGGTACTTGTGTCTTGTGACAGAGCGACTTGCCGGCTGCACTGCAGCGCCACCTAAGGTGGTCAATCACGCTTTCCTTGGCCTGTTGGTCCGGCTTCGAACATCATCCTGGGATGCGCACCGCAACATCCATGCTGAGAGAAAGGACCTCCTGGCAGCTGCATGCCTGATTGCAAGTGCAAATGCTCAGGCAGTAAACACAAACTGATAGGGCATGGAGACACGAGCACCTTTGATTTCTAATGCGTATTGCAAATCAGCCCCGCCAGCTCCGCAGCAGGGCGGCACCCAAACGATGAAGTTTGCAGGGTTCGGTGCCTGGCTGATTGAATTAGCCTAGTGGGTTCAAGCTGGCTGACAGGCTTTTGTGTTCAATCGTGCTGCCACTTTGAACTCTCATTGTCTGTGCAACAAAGCGGCGCAAGTACCTCTGACTCAGGTTTCCTCCCATCGAGAATTCAAGGAAAAATCAAGCAGTCCACCCTTGCAACAGAAACTAGCTCGAATGCGACCTGGCCTGCTACGCCCTTTGCCAAGGGCGAGGGCAAGCACGACCCGCCTTGACATTCCATGGCTCAAGTTTCCAAACAGCATACTGCAAGACAGTATAAGACTGCAAGCGCACGAGGCCTTGCACTTGTAAGGGCAAAAAGCCCCTCGATAAAACCAGCCGATGCAGCTGCAGCAAGCCAACCTGCAGGCTTGTTACGAACAAGCATATTCACAGTGGCCAACTTTGACCACAGCGTGCCTGTGCATGCAATTTACTGAGTGTTGGGGACACATTTCAAACCGCGAAACGGCCTGTCGGCGTTTGTTGGCTTTGAGCTCCTGCAACCACGCCTGATTGAGACTGCTGTGAAAGTGGGGAAACTTGAAAAGGCTATCTCATGCACAATCGCATGTTTGCTCATATTGGTTGCTCCAAGGAGTCGGCCTCCATCACAGTGGCCATTGTAGCCCGAAGCTGCTTCAGCTGCAGCTTCTCAACTAGTGGCCGC